GCCTAGATACCTTGAAGTACCAACACCAAAAGAGCCACACTTCCGCTGTATAGAAAAATACAAGATGACAGACATTACTGGGCTGGTAAGGGAKAACTGTACCACTTACAGTCTTGGTATTGTAGTACAGCTGTAGTWRRSGGTTGTTGCTTTAAAACTCACAAWTCATATTGCAGTGCWGTATTATAAGTGAAACTAAATTTTACCACCATCCAATCATTTCATCACAATAATATATCTGTCTTATGATTTTATTCAATTTTTCTAGGAATATTTTGAAGACAGTCCATGTCATATTGGGATTCTGATTTCAGAGGAGGTGAGTGCAAGTGAGTGTATGAGAAGTTAGTGAAATAATATACTGTCATTAAATAGCAAAGGTTTGTACTTATCATAGTCTCATTGACAATGTCATCAGGTAAGCCTGTCAGCAATAACTGTCTTTATTCTGCAGGATGCTCCTCTGGAATGTGCCGATAGCTACTTGCTTATCAAAACAGAAACAAARTCATCCATTGAACTCCTGGTCAGTGCAATAAAGACACCTTGGGAAGAACAATTTGGAGTGGAATTACAGACTTCTAGTTTCCTGCATCTTGAAAAATAGATGTTTGTTGACAAAATGATTTTAAGTAGCAACTAATTTCACAAACATTTTAGTAAAGAGACTCGTGACAAAAGTCTTGCTTTGGTTATATTACAATTTCTAGTGCATCTTGAAAAAAAAAGATTATTCTTTAAAAGGATGATATAAACTTGATATAATTTCAAAGTTTGTGCATTTAGATCCAGTTTAATTTGACTATGCTTACTTTGAAATTTCACCATTTATTTATTTGGAAGGGACCATGATTATATTTGCTCATGCACTGTAAAATGGAGTGAAATGGACACGAACATTATTTTATTTTTTATCAATTACGACAAGTAAATAATTGTAAATTCCAATTTTTTATAATGTAAGTTATTGTAAAGTTTATAAATAGGAATAATATTGTGTATTGTAAGTAAAAGGTATACAACTAATATATAATAATAAATACAGATTGATGACCCCCTAATCAGAAGGGGCTGTGTGAGGATGATCAGAGACTGTCTATTTTTGTTGAATCAGTTGTGCATATAAAAAAATTTTAACACTGTAAAAAAGGTGACCTTTTGGTCATTAATCCTTCTTCCTTTACTCCAATGTAGGATTAATGTTCGAAACGCCAGTAAGTTATTTCACCAACTTTTTTTTAAGATGTTAAAATTTATCTCATTTCTTTAGAAAACACCAATGCAGCTCATACCAGTTTACTGCTAGTTTCCACAACATATTTCAGTGGATGCTATATTGGAAAAATAACACCAAGTAACCACCTAGTATCACACTTGAAAGGACCCTTAGTTAGGACTTTGAGTCGTAGCTGCTTTTGGGCTACCTGTGTATGCATACCCCCTGCCGAGGATATAGAGTCCTTTCACAGGAATCATTAGTCAACTATAATTTGCTTTGTAGTGCAAAACAGTTATTTATACAAACATGGCTGAAAATACATGCTCAGGAAGAAAGATCATGATTTGTGTGGATGGCAGTGATCATTCCAAAAAGGCGTTTGATTGTGAGTAAAATACATCTCTTTGTTGTGATAAAATTCAATTACACGAAACCGTCTTAGTCCAGTKSCCATGTCTCGTGATTACTGCTGTAAACTAGTACTTTAACTGGAGGTTTACATGCGATATTTTCGCCCTATATCGACCTAAACAATCTATGTGTGATATTTCTATAAATTTAGACAAAGAAAAGAATTTAATTTTGAAATTATTGGGGCGTATTCGGCGTTTTTAGACCTATTCATATCTAAAGCCTATTACTCTGAAACGTGTCGAATTTCACACTTCAAAACAAAAGCAAAAGATGTACGTGTACATRCCGCAATAGCTTGTATACATGCGTTTTTAAGGCAGTATAATGTGTTTAGGTTACGGTATCCGAGCATCATTGAACTTTTCTATTAATAATCAACTTCATAGATTCGTATATTAGATACATAGTAATTAAATGATTGACAAATTTTGAACACGTGGWGTCTAGACATCCCTGTTTTAATGTTTTGTTTGATCGGTTTTGTATTTATTAAAGAAATATCGATGAAATACTGTAATAACATTTCATGAATATTTACTATTTACATACAAGGTGTGTCTTTATGGGATTATATCTGCTTGTTGAAGCATTCAATGTCATTAAAGAACTGGTTATAATTATGCAAAACAATGGCTTACAACAGGGGTGGAGTGGGGGGTTGGGCCCCAATAGACAAGGACAGGGTATCAAACACGTCTGTTAGGAAAGTTAGCAAGGAATGTGAAAAAAATCTATATGAAAAACAATTAAGAATTAAGCAAACTATAAAATATTTACTTTTTTTTCATTACACTCAGGGTACGCAGAACATATAGCCCGTGAYGGTGATGAATTGCTTGTTGTAACAGCTCCAGAGCTTCACCCTCCAGCATTACCACGTAAGTATAAGCCATGGAAAATGGCTGTACCGAGAAAAAAAAACAAGCTGTAATTATAGCTGAATAACATATGTAGACTTTATTTTTTACACTAAAAAAACTCACAAAAATAATTGTGAGAAAAAAATCAAAGCGGGTTTACTGAATTCACATGACTGGCTCATGACRTGATTTAGACATACAAGCTTAGAGAGTAGTGGTCAGTATTTTTTTACTCTCCTAAAATTTGTTGTTAAATGAATTTATTGTTCCTCTAGATGCCCTTGCCACAGAAGAATGGCATCATGAAGTAGAGAAACACCAAGAGAAGGTCAATGCAATTCTTCAATACTATGAGAAAGCAATAAAAGACAAATGTGGCAAGGTATTTCAAGAATATGTTAATATTACAGTTAATTACTGTGAACTTTATCATGTTATTCTACCACTGGTCAGAGAGTTAAGGGTACTGTCAACAATATTGATAATAATTTGCTAACTTTTGTTTCAGTGCAAGCATGGTGTTGTGAAAACAATTGGTGTTAATTACTCAGTTGGCCATGCATTGTGYGATGARGCAAAGAATTCYCATGTCACTATGGTTGTGGTTGGATCAAGAGGACTGGGTACYATCAGACGYACCCTTCTTGGTAGCATCAGTGATTATATYATCCATCATGCTCATTGTCCTGTTGTAGTTGTACCAAAACAATAAATCCTTACCAATAAATGCAARAAAATAAATGCTCACAATATTCTGTTTTTGACTAGATTCCTTGTAGTATACCCAGCATTCAATAGTGCCCCCAGTTAYCCCTTTGTATAGTTTTACTCTTATCTGATTGGCCAGTTTTATTAGAATAAAAAGATAAAGTAGTCTTGCCACAAGACAGACTCTCTTTCAACTCACAAAAAAAAAATAAAGGAAATTTCTAGAATCGATTGAAAATTTAAAGAATAAGCGAGCGCAGTGCTAGGGGGCTAAAGGGACTTTGTGAAGTTTTAAGATAAAGGTTCAAGTGTTACAATCTCATCTAGACTAGTCTCACGTACTGTAATGACGGAATTTTTGATTATTGTCAAGATATCGTCAAGAGGAAAAAATTGCAGCCTTTTGGCTGTAAACAGCATAATGCAATATCTCTCAAAGAATAGGTATTTCGTGAAACTCCAGGATTATTCAAAGTTATTCAAATAAGCTATWAATACAGATAAATGGTTTTTAAACTAAAAACACAACCAAAAAAAAAAACGATCAATACCATATAATGTGCATATGAATGTACTATGAAGAATCAGGATATCCGTAACTCGTGGATTCAATTTTGTGTCCTTTGTGGATATAAGTAGAACTTAGTGATGCTTGKTCAGTCGCTTGCCTATATAAGTTAAACGGGTTTTAAATAATTAAAACTCGTCTGCTCTGTTAATGAAAATCCAACAATTTCTTAGACACTTTTGTTCGATACAAGATTCACAAAATATTCTAAAAGTGTTTGGTATGCACTTGTTGCAGTTTTTGACAAGATTTGATCGCAAATAAGCATTCAAAAACTGCTCTTTATGAAATTCCGAGGATTGTAGTGCAATACTATCAAGCTGATCACAACCCCATTAGACTATAGGTGTTAATTAATGAGTAAATCTCTGCACGAAATGTTCTACATATTTCCAGAGTTCACTGAGTTGCTTTGCAGTGCGTGTGCAGATTCGTCCACTAGCTCTCCTCGAAGGTGTTATAGAAAGTCCTATGAAAGATATCGTAATGTTTTAAAGACACCTGTTAAGTAACACGAACAATGCGATGGAGTGATAATGCGATCACTCATATCAAAAGAATGACCGATTGTCAGTGAAACGAACTCAAACCACGGACACT